TGCAGCCCTCAAAGCCTCTCCATGCCCTCCTCTGKACTCACTCCAGCAGCTCCATGTCCTTCTGATGCTGGAGGCCCTGGAGCTGGACACAGCATTCCAGATGGGGTTTCATGACAGCAGAGCAGGTGGGGAGAATCACCTCCCTCARCCTATTGGTCATATCTTTTTTGATGTAGCCCAGGATACAGTTGGCTCTCTGGGCTGCAAGTGCAGATAAATAYCTACAGAAGGTGTTGAGGGCTTCCTGGACTATTATGAGCTGCATTTACTAATGAATTCTTTTTTCTAATAAATATTCTAGATTTTGTTGTTTCTAAACTTCTCCTCTGTGTCTGCAGCTGGCAGTATTACCTAAGGCAGTTTCTGTGCTGAATCACTAGTGAGGTTTCAAGTACTCCCAGAGTACCAGCTGCTGTTTGGGATTTTGCCACATTCTTCTGTGTGCTGATTTCTTCCTTAGACAGCAAATCTTAATGAAAGAGTGTGTTGCCTTGAAAGTCTTGTGCATGTGCCCACGACAATATGATGGCAGCCATCATCGACAAGTGAGGCTSTAATGTCTTGCAGTGTCCTATTCAGGTGTGCTCTTAAATGAGGTAAGTTAAGCATTSCCTTAATGAGCAGCAAATCCAGTTGCTATGGAGAGATTATTCCATTTTACAAGGATGTGAGAGAACTATCTTTCTCTTCTAGGACCAAGCTGAATGTGACTTAGCTGCACAATTCRTAAGCAAAATTGATGCATTTTTGTTTAAATGCTGGTATTTCCATTGAGCCAGTGCTAGCCAATGCTGGCTTTGAACATTCAGCTGTTGACCTTCCAGTGAATTGCTGCACACTGTCTACCTGTATCSTCCTTCTGCATTCCTGCTGAGATGACCCACCATCATTCTTCCCATAATTAGTTTCTAAAGGTTATTTTCATCTCTATACTGATGTGAGTAAAGTATGTAAATTTGCATGTGTTGATTTCTGACAATAGTGAAGCTTTTCCAGTAATATTTCTAACTTCAGCTTTCATCTTGTTTTCCATTCAGAGTTACACAAGTATCTTTGGCAGCATCATATCTCAAAGKCTTCAGCTTTCTTCCTCTCAGCAGAATTAACTTGGAGTTTGCTGGAAGTGTTGGAGTTTTTTACCAGTCAGGTTTTCAAATACTTCACAATATAGTTATTTGCAGATGATCTTAAGGCAGGTGTGAAAATTGCTGGGGCAKCTCTGGTACATCCACATTACCGTGACAAGACCAGTCTTTAATTTCTCTACAAAAATCTCCTTTATTAGACCTCTGTGRTCCTACATAAGTGAATTCAGCTATTGCATTTCAGTTTGCCATTAATTATAACTTTTCTTATGCGCTCTTTTGTAAGTTGGTGCACAATGTATTTTTCATGCTGGTGTTAATGATTTCATTCAGTCTGATAGGATTCAGCCATTTATGAGAGTAGAGCTTTGGGGAAAGTACATTATTTTAGTTGTGTTAAAATACTATCTAGACAAGAAGACTGGAGGTAATACCTAAGAACACTAATGAAATGCCACACGGCTTGGTCCAGTTGTCAGGATATGGGATGTTGGATTGTGAGTGATTTTGCTCTGTGTGCAATTTCAGGCAATACTTTTTTTTTTTTTTTTTAATTGGAACATCTTCCAAATGCTAGAATATTTAAAGTGTATTTTTAAATAGTGACTGGCAATCTGTGAAACACCATTTTAGCATGAATGAGATCATATGCTACTAAAATACTACTTATACTAGGAAACTGAGATGAATTGAAAGTAGCATGGCTAAAAAAGTGAAGGCAACAGGTGTTTTATTAGATTGCAGATATTGGCTTTTTTAACATCTGTAGAATAACCAATACTTCATCCTAAAACTTTTTGCAAATTTGAATGTTCCCATTACTGAATATCAGTAARTCCAGTGTTCCTAATTTAAAGTATATTCCCTTAAAGGTGTTTTTGACTAATAAAACATGATATCATCTTCTAGCACATCACCAGTTTCACAATGTAATGCAGGATTGAAAGAATTTTGCTTGGATACCACGTATTTGATGACTACAAGCATACTAAAAAAGGAACAGGTCAGGTTGTACTCCTACTCAAAAAAAAACTCCTGGAGTTAACAGCATTGTGTAAAGTGTATGTGCAGCCTGTCAGAGAGAAGTAYTTTTTGTGTTGCAAGGAATTGTGGAGCACTTTGTTTTGGTGCAATTATTTCAATCACCTTTTTAGTAAGTAAGAAACATGGGATTTATGTCTGTCCAAGTGCCTTTGACTATTAATTTGAGCAAGTCAAGGAAGTGAAGCATCCTCGACTTCAATTTCCCCATTGTTTAAAATTGAGACCTTCCTGAGTTTACTYTTATAAGAACTTTTTTAAATATGCTGTTCGAGACCATGTTGTAGAGAATGTTATCACAATCACTCCAAGAATAGAGAGATGATAAAACAATTACAGTCAAATCATTCATCCTGGTGCTTCAAATTYGATCTTCTCTTTGCAGAATGCTATAATAGCCTCACATCTTAAAAATATGCTACCTCCCACAAAGCAGTAGTTTCAGGTGACTAATCATTGTATAAAGCACAGAACTGATATTTAAATGCAAATTGGGGGCCTTTTAGTTCATGCAGTTTTGGATCTCAGCCCACAATCCACAGTTTTCAGAGACAGCACATTTCACAGAAGAGTGTAACTGTCTAGTTCTGGGCTCCTCAGGACAAGAAAGACAAGGAGCTACTGGAGACGGTCCAGCAGAGGTCACAAAGATGATGAGGGTTCTGGAGCATCTCTCATGAGCAGAGACTGCAGGAGCTGGGCCTGTTTAGTCTGGAGAAGACTGAGAGGGGATATCAATAATCCATGCAAATATCTCCCAGGAGGGTGCCAAGAGGATGGTGCCAGATTCTTGCCAGAGGTGCCCAGTGATAGGACAAGCAGCAATGGCCATAAACTGAAACACAAGAAGTTTCACCTCAACGTGAGGAAGAACTTAATTCCAAGGAGAGGAGTAGAGCACTGGAACAGGCAGCCCAGGGAGCTCATGGAATCTCYCTCTCTGGAGACATTCCAAACCCACCTGGGCATGTTCCTKTGTCASCTGCTCCAGGTGACCCTGCCTTGGCAGAAGGKGTTGGACTGGGTTATCTCCAGAGRTCCCTTCCAACCCCRACAACTCKGARATTCCRYGAATCTGTGAATAATACAGATTCAACTAGAAACACTGAGATTTAAAAAACCTGGATAGAATGGATACAAGACCTAAAATTATGATGTACACAATTTGCAAATGCACATGCAATTTAAACTGAGTGCAACTGAACAGTCAATCTGGAAAAGTAGAGCATTGAAGCTGTCTGGAAAAAAAACACCCTGGGCTATTCAGACACGATTTCTATCCAAGACTCTTGCTGTCATGGCTACTGAAAATTTCGCCTGTCTTAAGATTATATGTGGAGAGCCTTTCTTAGACTTCACTGTAATGGCATGTCATGAAGGCACTCATACCAACTGAGTACCATCTGTCCATACAAAGCAGTATCTTATGATTTAGGGGAAACCCTGGCTCCATGAAAACTGATGAAGAATATTTTTTGTGACTCTACTGGAGCCAGGATTTTCTGTATCTTYTAACAAATATTTTCACAGTAATTGSAYGTGGGGTTGGAKATCAATACAACCTGMTGYGCTGTAGAATATTATTTGTTGTAATGATTGTGATCAGAGGCAAATTCATCTTTTGCCCCTTCCAAAGGAGACAATTAGGAAGGAAGCCTCAATCTTTTCAGAAATATATCAAGGGAAGAGAAAATGGTCAGTGTAGTCATAGTTGCAGTCCAGCTTTCCACTAGCTGTTTGGGCCAGACCTCTGAAATCCCACTGCAGTTAAAGACAGCCTCAGAAGATACTTAACTTCTGGTGTAGCTGTCTGATGCCTTCCTGGGTCATTGCTGGGGTAAAGGCAGTATGGGTAGRATATTTTTGCAGTTTAGTAATTTTGAAGTATAAAGAAGGTCTTTTGAGGCCACAAGGGCAACTRCTGGCCTCTAGAGTTTTGCCCTGGTTAGTTCAATCCTGGACTACCGCCAGAAGATGAGAGAGTGAGAAAGGATGAAACTTTGACTTCAGACCTTCATGTCTTTATTTGTCCTGCAACCTCTCTATATCTCAGCTGAGCCAAAGGAATCTRGGAATGTGTCTCTACAGATCTGAGTTAGATAAACTCTTTCCATTTGGAATTCAAAGATGAACTATACCTTCACATACATTCTAAACTACAAAAGGAGACTCTCTTTTCAGGCACAAAACAATATATTCTGCAAAATCATTCTGTACTCCCTTTTTTTCCACTTGTTCTAATGACAGTGGTAGCACTCAAACAAAGAAGTTATGCAGGCAGTGCATATGCGTGACAGGGAKAAAACTTATTTTCTGGCAACAGAAAATAAAAATTTAAACAGAAGAAATTAATCTCTTGTAATAATTCAAGATTTATCTATTAAATTGCTTGCCAGTGGTTTGGAAAAAAAAGCTGCCTGAAATCACAYTAGGAAATCCTCCGACTTCAGTCAAATCTCTGATTGAGTCAGCTTCATTTATCAGTGCCATCACCAGCTGATCTATAAATACATCTGCTTTTACAGCCTAAGCGTTCTGAGATTTGCCTGTTATCTCCTCAGAAGASGAGGGCTAGTGGCTGTTCTTAAACAACCCTGGCTTAGCCAAAGCCAGCACGAACCTAAGCCTAAGAGGCCAAGCCCATCGGCTGTTGATAACTTTGATAGTCACTACTATCATTTGAGAGTCGCTTGTAGCCAGTCCAAGTTGGCAGTGTTAGTCCAAGCTGATTGGAGCTGCAGACATTTTTGCTGACTGGAGTCATGCTATCTTTGCCAGTTTGCTGGAATAGACACAGACACTGATTGGGTCATGCTGAAAACATTCCTGTCCTATGAAGCAAGTCTGTTTGTATTTCAGGTTTGCCAGGACTAATGAATTAAAAATCTTGGGCTCACCACACTTTGCTGCTTAATGCCTGTGACCGAAGGATTTTTTCCTCCCTGAAGCGTGACAGCATCATAACCCCTCATCCCTGGCAAGGAGAGGAAGGAAAAGCAGAATTGTGGAGAAAAGTGGAAAAGGGTTATCTTTTGGGACAGCAAAGCCTATGGGAAGTGCAGGTAGCAGCATGTTGCCCTGACAGCTGTCTCAGCTCCTCAGACCTTGTCAGTTTGTTGCTATGCAGCAGGTGCAGCCTTTTCTTTTATTGAAGCTTTACTCCATAAAGGCAACGACAAGCCAAGGCAGTGGCTGGCCCTGGATTATACAAGTGCAGACACTCCGCTAAGTGAGGTAAGGCAACAGGTGTGAAAAAATCCATAGAGCTGTAACAGCATTTAATCTGAGTTCTGCTGCAGGTTTTTTACAGCAGCCAGCTCTATAGRCAATTGTTGGGAAGAAGAGAGCTGCTCATTAAATATAATTTAATTCCAGGTTCCCCACTCATCTCTGTCTACAGAGATACTGTTCTTCATTCATGGAGAAAGCATGTGGGGAATTGGGGGCAATTGGTCTGCGTATTTCCTAATATCACCTTGTTTACACACAGGCTACTTCCATATCTCTCTGTTCTCTGTGATTGCTTTTTGTGATGAAGAGCTTGAGGATTTGACACAAAAAGGAGTGAAGGGATAAATGCACTATGTAAAGAGTGATTGCCATGTAGAAAAATGAGATTTTTTTTCTCTGAATTAGAATAAAATGAAAACTTTCTTTTGTGTTGTGATAGAATTAACCATTTCTTACTGAAAGAGTGTTGATTTTTGCCCTCACAGAACAGATGATTAAAAGAGTTAATTTAAAAACATCACACACCACGGAGTATGTGACTGGGATAAAATAACACTCTTGTAGCAATACTGTTAGGTCAACTGCAAAACATCTAGCAGAATATATCATTTTAATTTCTTAGGCTATATTGTGAAATGTGAAGTATACTCCTCTGTGGAAGGCCACTTGAGATAGTCGATGTCTGGGAAAGTGTACCAACAGCACAGAACAAACAATGAACAGCCTTGTTTCAAGGATTTGCTTATCACTTAAAATCTCTTCATTCTGAGGGTTTTTTTTTTCTTTTCATTGTATTGGGAAGTATGGAAGGGAAATATGTCAAAGAATTTAGCATTAGTAATTCTATTGTTTTTTAAAAACACTGAGATGTCTCAGATGTTTCATATGAAGTGAGGGTGGAGAAGAGATTAACAATGCTCAGTAGGTAGAAGTTATTTACTCTAATGCAATGCACTTCAAAATAAAATATTTCAGTTGAGTCCAAGGGTCTTTTCCTGAATCCAAAACCATACATGGCTGCAATTTATTTGACTTTTCTTTGCCTCTGCTCTATAGATAGTAGTTCAAATTTTGTGGGTATTGAATGCTAGTAAGGAGGAATTAAGAACTATCCCTGATATTCTTTGTATGCTAGCAGTGAGAGACACTTTCAGCTTCAAATAAAATTTATTCAAAGTAAGGATTTTAGATTATTTATTGTTATTATACGAAAAGATTATGTACTCCAAATAAGAAGTAACTATATCACTGTGCTAGCTAAATATCAAGACAGACAAAGCAAATAAACAAGAAATGCTGAAATTAGTGGACCCAATGCACATTTGATCCTCTTCCATTGATTGCATGGCAATGATGCCAGAGAAATATTCCATTCACTTGTCCACCAYCAAGGAAGATTATACTCCTGAAATAGTGTTCTGCTCTATTGACTTTTTGAGACTGCCTAATAATTCCATATGAATTAGAATGACTTGGTAGAATTTCCCTGCAATACAATAGCTATTTTACTAACAACTGCAAGACTATTGGCTTAGGAAACTGGCTTTTGTTTTCTCTAGATAAATGCTCAGTTATCTCCTGACAGTGAATTAGTAAATTCATCATACTTTTCTGTTGAATTTGGTTTCTAATTAACTAAGAAGTTTTTATGGTAATTTAAAAGCTACTCTCATAATTGTCCACATAGTTGGTATGAATACAATGCATGCTGGATAGCAGTCCAGAGTCCTAAAATAATTTCTTTATGGGCAGATCTTTTGCATGCATGAAGTCCCACTGACTTCWTGTTCTCCAYGGATGGTGCTAATCAGAAGATTAACATCTTTGAAGTTTAGCAACTTTGTGCTAGATAATCAAGAASGTTGTTTGTATTCAGCTATTCAATAGAGTATAACCAAATCTTTTCATTCAAAAGGTTAAATATAGATAGTAGAGCCCAGAGTACTACTTTTCAGGGTACAGAGGTGTTTAATTACACTACTAGAGATCAAAAGTAGCTAATTCTTTTGTTGCTCAACAATTCTTTAGTACCATATTGGAAATGAACTATCAGTTTTCTTAATGGACAGGGTTTCACCACAGTAAAATCACTTTTTGGAATTGATGATCTCAGAAGAAAGACAGAGGACTGAGTAAGGTCCCGACCCAGGAGCCAAACCCATGCAGACAGACCCCTACTCCTGCACAGGCTTCMACTGAAGAATCACCACCAAGGTTTGGAAACTCCATGAATTTTTGGTCATGAGGTGTGACTTGCAGGCACAGTTGAACTGGGGGAGTATGGGTGGAAGGTAGGAGGATGAGAACCTCCTCATTGACACCATGTGGAGTGGTGTGCACGGTTCCAATCACAGGGCAGGCTTGGGGTCATGTTACTCTCAACTCCCCTCCCCTTCTTCCTTCTTCACCTTCAGAACCAGGCAGCATTGCCACGAGTCAAGGCTTGCTGGAGGGGCAATGGCGGGGAGCAAGCAGGTGAGGAGAGGGGCAGCTTCCTTTGCCATAGTTCTTTCTAATCTATAAATAGCAAAAATAAAAGCAGTCTCTGCACTGAATTTCACTTAAATTCTTTTTAAACGGAAAAGTGAAATGGCGCTCCCTTGACTTAGATTCTAAGCATTGCTTAGCTAGAATGGGAAAGGCAGCTGTGAGTGCATGAAAAGCATTAAAACTCACTTGTTGAATGATGCCACATGCTCTGTAATAAATATATTTTTTGTATTATTGCAGCTGGAACAAACAAGTAAAAACATTGATTCAAGTGCCCACATGATCACCACTGCCAGGGTACCTGCTGATAAGCCAGTACGAATTGCCTTCAGCCTGAATGATTCCCCAGGTACAGTTTAATTTATGGTGTAAACCACAATGAAATATCTGCTTTTAAATTTTACATTAACTTGTCAGTGTTTACAATATCAAACCTAGTCCAGTGTAATGGATGGGTATTTTTTCCTAAGTGGTAGCATGTGATCAGTTTTGCTGTCTGATAACTTTTAATGTTTCCATTAACAATTTCATTAGACTAAACCCACTAGATTGAGTTTCAGTCTTAGCTTTCTTTCAATGGTTTGTGGAATGTAATTAGGACTGTAATTAACTATCAAATTTACCTGCAGTGCAGTATGTCTGATTTTGTGGAATTGTAAAACAAGAGAAGTAAAAGGACAAATTTGGATGAGCCTAGAGCAGGAAGAAACTTTCTAGCAGGAAGGTTGTAAAGTGCCACACATGCCCAGCTYGGTGAAAGGTTTCAGGAAACAGGTGCTCCACATGGCATGTTCTCTGAGAGAGCATCAGAAATTTCATTGATGTTTATCCTGTCAGCTAGTGCTGAGGGAGCATTAATTTCCCAAAACCTACCCTGTACACACATGGACCCTTTGGAGAAGATAAATATTATTAGTTCGCACCTTCAATATTAAGGACCGGAGAGCTGTTGCCAAACAGTGGCAACAGAAAAGCAGAGAGGAAGCTGAAAAGCGTCCCAAAAAAAGYTGGCTCTTGCTTTTGCTAAAGGTGAGTGCCTGGAGTCAGGGCTGAGATGTATTTATGGTATGAGGTAAAAGGATAACGAAAACCTACTGCTGTTTGTTGTTTTATGGGACTCTATGCATTGTAGGATGATGTGTGAGGTCACTGCTTGAGGACTGTATGAACAGAATATCAGACTGAATGCAATTTTCGATTTTAAAAAATCTTTAGAATATGGATTATCTTTCCTAGCTAAGTGCTGTGTACTATTAATTTTCAGCTAAAATATTGAAATACAATCTCATCCCCTAAGCAAGGAAATTAAAAACCAAACATCTTCATGTTATTGAACCTAACTTRCAATTCATAAAGATGAATGACAAAGGAAGATTAGTACAAGGAATATAAAGAAAAGCATATTATAATCTATGTGTCCTTTTTCATAAATTAAAATAACATGGCAATTACATTTTTATTGCAGAAAGCAGTAAGGAATCATTCTCATCTTTTAAGATACAGTCATATGGAAAATTTCTTGCAGGAATTATGKCACAAGTAGGTCTTGAAGAAAAAGAAAGGGGAGTGGTCTTACAATTTTTGGAAAAGGAGTGCTAAAGTGAGATACTGAAAACAAGTCAGGGAAAGCTGAGACCATGGGAAAATCAAAGAGAGCGGAGTGGTTTGTGACAAGAGAGGGCAGTAGGAAATGACAAGGTTGTGAATAGCTTGGAAGAAAGGGACATGAAAGGCAGGAAGCCTAACTTCCTTAACATTGCGTCATATTTTATTTTTTACTTTTTTATCCTGCTAATAATTCCAGCTTCTCTCTCAATGTTTACAAAAATAAACTCAATTAGAGAAAGGTAATCTTTTTCTTCTACATATTGCTAATTGTGCCAAATGTTCCAAATTAAAATTGTTTAAAATTTTACAATTAAAATTGTTAAAATTTTGAATCCTTTATTGTATATATACAAATGYTCTTGCAGTGTGCAACCCAGAACCTTTATGAGTACTGATAAAAAAGCATARCAACCAATAGAGTGAGTGCCATGTTCTCCTCTGCATCACATACCTTTGGGGGCTATCAGAAGGTCTAAACCAACATTATTGTTTTACTATGTCAAAAGAATTTCATGCATTTTTATGTTTGATCTATTTCAAGAAAGCAAAGAAAACAAGCTTTTAATAAGTGTGAACATTTCCAGCAAACCATAGTTGAATCAAGAGAGTACAAACAAGTATTTAACACTTTTTTTTTAAGATGAGCTACAAAAGCGTTCAACAGATAGATTTTTCAGTATTCAATAGCAGGTGCTTTTTTTTTCTTTACTCTTTTCTATTTTTCATCTTTTTTTTCTCCTTGACAAGAATATTTATTTTCAGTTTAAACAGGAGTTACCTGATATAAGCGTGGTAGTAAAGCATCAGATGAGGCTTATGCACTGCTTGGATACAATAAGTTCTTTGMAAGGGCTAAGTGGCAAGGAAATCTCTCTAACTTAAGCTTTTCCTTAAATTCTACCTCACTTGAAAGGCACCATGACACATTTTGCCAAGAAAGGCTGCATTCTCCTTCCGGGGGCTGTGTTCCGGGAGGAACTGACAGCATAACTGGATATAAAAAGAGGAAATGGAATGTTTCTTCTGGGTGGCAATTATCTCACTGGCTAGGATTGTAACCAAGCAGTGGGTGTGAGGAGCAGTAAAAGGAGAAGCTACTCTCAACTCATGAGAAGAAATTACTTTGTGTTAACTGACCTACAAGACCAGARCTGTCTTATCTCAAGTGTACAAGAAATAACTTGTATTACATTATTTATCAGTCAACACCTGATGACTGACGTTCTGGCTAGCTTTGTGAGGTATTTTTAATGTGAAAGTAGGGTAACCAGTTCCATAAAAGTCTCAGARCCAGTCCAATTGTGGGTTCTATGTAAGAAGACAGTTTTATTGTGTATMTCTTATTCCTGTATATATAGATATCTATGTTTGGCTCTTTCACTCAAGTTCACTAAYACACGTTTCCCAGGGTATGTCTGTGCACTGTATTGCAACAGTTTGACTTAAGTCAAATTCATTTTAAAGTAATGAATTGGAAAYGTATTATTTCAACCTGCCTTACATCACTTGGAAACAAATGCATCTTCAACTGAATATGGTATTCCAAGATTCAAATGAGTAKTCCAAAGTTGAAGATCTGTTGTGGTTTGTCAGCATCAATTTCATTTAACCAGTGAAATTCAATGTGTGATCATTTTTGTCAATCTAACTCATAAATATATGAACCTCATATTAGACAGCAGGGTTTGTTTTGTGTAATAGCTCAAAGGGAAGGTTTATAGGTTCGTATCTCATCACCTTGCCTCCTAGAATAAAAGCTTGAATCTAGCTGAAAATTTCTGCTCATGGCATAAAAGACTGGGTCTGAAATTGTTAGTGAATTTTTTTGTCTGAAATTAGTCTACCTCTGATAGTACTTTCCAGAAAATCACTGACAAAAAGCAAAACATACATCTTCTAATGAACCTGACAGATARTGGAACAGGGTCATATTTTTGTAAGCATAGCAAAATTATTTATTTTACTCCTCTTTATGCTGATTGTCCTAGTGACTACAAGGAATTTTTTGGTTTTCTAGTTGATCGTGCAAGACTATTTTGCAGTGGTTGCTTCTTCAAAAGCAACCTTCAGGTTCCTACCCACCCTCATATTGATTATAATGGCAATAGAGGATTTCCAGCACATTGATTGAAAACCAGTGAGGATTGCTAAGATATAKAGCTAAAATTTACAGAGCTGATTTCCTAAAATTACACCCAGTGTATAGGACTTGTTCCTTGGGGAATTAGATGGGAACTCAGGTGAGATACTCTCAAAGGGATATTCATCTGAGGATGCTTAGGTTTGAGTGAAGGGGTACAAGGTACAAGGATTTTGCTCTTTCCTCTTCCATTATGGACTGTTTCTATTTCTGGAAGGTCCACAACTCTTATTATTGAGCAAGCCTTCACATCCTATTCCTGGGTGAGGCAGTGACCGTTCCCCACTATTTTATGAGTGAGGTAACTGCGAGGTTGTGTAAGGTCATGTCAGGCAGGGCTGTGAATAGAAGCCCTGAGCTCCACAGAGCAGTGCCAAGTCGCAGTCACTTAGCCACACAGCCTTCCAGGATGAATTTGATGAGTCTATGCTTGTCTGTCAGTATGGAGGCCCAGAGCTGCTGGATCTCACAGCCCTCCAAGGCTGGACCCTGACACACGGTTTGACACTGCTGTTGATGCAAGTTGCAGGGCTTGCAATTCAGTTTGAGCACTTTTCCTGTGCAAGGGCTGATCCACTTTCAGGACAGCAACCTACTTGTGTTACCAATTTAATTCTATAATTTAGGAGGAAGAGATCTGAATACATTGGCCCACACATGTAGGAGAAAAAAAATAGTACCTGATTGTATAATTAAATACTGGATCATAACTCAGTTACTCAAGGAAGCAGAGCTGTGATTGGCATTTCCTAAATTTCGAGTGCTTGATTTAGCAACCTTAATATGCTTTCAACACATTTAAATTTTTACATTCTATTTCTGTCTGTCTTTTTGAAGATCATAGGGAAACTAATTTGCAAGRTTATACTGCAAGTTAATCAGATGTTGTTCTTAAAGTATTTATTGCCTTTAGCTCATAGTTCAGTTAAATGGAACAGCCGTATAAGAAAAGATTTGGGTATTCACTTCATCGTGCCAGACTTTGTGTCAGTCAGACAGCAACAAGTGAAGGATTTCTCTCATTTGACTACTTGATGGAGTTCTGGGATATTGGAATTTCCAGGAGGCCAGAACATGATTRAATAAGTGAAACTTTCCAGAAAACAAGGTTCATTCTCAAATGTGCAACATTAGCATATATCAGCTGCCTCAGGGGAAGTAGTGAGCCTTTTGTACAAAGACAATCAGTGTTCGTAGAGTTCAGATGCTGTCTGTTAAAATGGCAATTTTCAGCAGCAAGCCAAGSAAGCTTGTGAACCTGATGAAACAAACATGAAAATCACACTATTTTATGTACATGGACAGAGACTTCCATTAAAAATATTTGGGGTTTAGCCAGAGTACAGGTCTTCAGGGTGTTTTTAAATATAAAACTTCAAAATTAGATTTGGGATCTATGGGAAAACAGGAAATGCTACTCATTTAGAAATCATGTTACAGATACATTAACTCAGTTGGCTGTAATGAAGTCCCTGATCTGATACTTTCATATGACAAGATAGTGCTGTTGAGTTTGCTGGGATGGCCATAATATATACATGTATGTTTTTCCTCCTTTCTTGTTTCCTTTTGACCAGAATCTTGACTCATTTGCAGGTGCAGTGAGTTGCTGTCTCTGATTCATAAAAATAAATTATTTTAAACAAAATAGGTTTTCAACATTGAACTCGAATTGTAAGTAGTTTTTCTTTATTAGTTTCTTTATAGTGACTATAGGGATGAGATGCTGTTTGTCGCTGGTGAAGAAGCAGCCTAGATATTTTCAGGACTKCGTGGTACAGAAAAGCCACTAATTTTATTATAAAGGGGGTCTTTGATTATATSAGTAATTCCTTATAATAATCTAGACACTCATTAAAAATTGATCATTAATTGAGAAAAGGAGAAAAAGGCATATCAGAGTTTTGTTTTCTAGTTAAGGAGAGATAAAATAAACACCGGCAGGAGATAGTTTTGAGAGTGCTTTGATCTTCAGAATATTTTCATTGGCATTTCAGACATTTTTTATTTTTGGTTTTCAGAGTCAGTAGATTTTTAAGACTAAATGTGATTTTGACTGGTGTTCTGAGTAACACCTAGTATACTCCACCTAGCAATAGCAATTCTTCAGAAAAAAATGCAAGAGTTTATATCTTTCTTCTTGACTTTCTGAAAGCATCCTCAAAAAAGTTTTAGGAGGCAAACAACTGCTTTCATTTGTTTTCCCCTTGTGTGAAAGTGTTTCATTTTTATGAWGTGATTTTTATTGTTATTGTTGTGGTTGTTACTTTGACAACAGTGAAATAGAGGCTGATCTGAGGCAATAATTTTTTTCACTGAAAGCTGTGAAGAAAACTTTTTGCTGTCTTTGTAGAAAACAARATTGCAGTTAGCTATGAGGATTTCTGATAATTTTTGTAAGCTAAATACTTCAGCTGAAATTCTCAAAGAGCCTAAAAGAATTAGGAGCTCGGGAAAATTTCAAAACACTGAAGTCTATCATATTTCTCAGTGATGTTCTGCACATCAGATGATTATTTAAACAAGTCTTAAACTAGTATAACTAAAAAAAACCCTAGCAGCTGTTCAATAGATGCTAGGGCAGGCCCATTATAAAATGTACTATGGTATGTCATAATGGTTAGGATACCAGTACGTCCTATTTTTAGTACCATTGACTCAGTCACTTGAGTTCAAAAAATAAGCAGGGAACATCTGTTTATTGAAAGGATTTCCTCTATAATTTCTCGCTCTATTCCATCCTTTATAAAGTACTTCCAAACTTTTTAATTGGTTCCTTTAATTTATTTTCAAATATTCTGACACTGCATTATCTTCTTATTAAAAGCTGCTGCCATGAAAAAGTAATTCTTGTCTGATGTTTTTTTCAAAATTTTTAAAAATATTTTTGGGGGGTGTTGCTTTTGCTATGTTTTTCTTAATTTTATAAATGTTCAAGATCCCTCCTTAAAGCTACAGTACCAAAGATTGTAGTGCCGGAATTGTCAAAACAAATAGCAGCTTAGCTGCCATCCATGACTCTGGTCCAATAGCTCTGTCAGAATATTTAACAGCTATTCAGCCAAATACTTGTAGAGCAGCTGTAGCCCCAGTCGGGCTGAGTCTTATTCTGTCCTTCCTTTTAGCTATGCCATATGATTCATCCTTCTTCTTTTAGAATATTAGTCTATTTATATATTGTACAAGAAAGCAATAGCAAATTAAAGGTAAACACTTGCATATTAGCATGATACAATTCTATACAATTGAAGCAATTTAAGTATTTTCCAGAATGGATGTGCTTGGCACATGGTGTGAAAAATGAAGGGGAACACTCTCATGACATGGGTATGACATTTTGATAATGCTAGCAAGACAACTACTCCATGAAAATACACGAATTTCACTCTGTTTTCTGAGGAAGTTCAAGAACTTTTGCTTTTGTATCACTTTTTTTTCTTCTCTGAGCATCTCTTCCCAGAGGCCACCCTGCTCTAACTATATTATTAGGTAAGGCTCTGGCCATGTTTTAGCCRGTGTGTTTATTTTTCATGGGATAAGGTGGCTTATTTATTTTTTCCCTCCTGATCTCCTTTGCCACACAGGCAAAGAGAAAGAGTGTTACGGGGAAAYGGGGTATGGATCATACAGASACCAATATGATGAGCAATGATCTCTTTATGATTGGGCTGAGCCCCTTTTATCTATTTAGTAACAGTGTGTATACTAGGTCTTCCGGGTAAATGGCAGATGTCTATTGGCTACTTAGCAGTCCATTCTCTGCTTATCAGCATATGATTGGTGCGTTATAAGAGTTGCAAAAGCGGCTGCACCGTTAGCTTTGCRGTTTCTTTTACTCTGTTTTTGGCATCTGCCTCATYTGGTTTTGTTCCTCTTCAACATTCCTTCTTMCTTTTATCACAGTCAGCCCARGACCGYTTGCTACGCTGCCTTGGTAATATCCTCCTCTGTCTCCTCGGTTTCCACCTAGGCTTTCACACTCGATTCTGTTTCTAGCACATCTCAGGGATACATAATTACTGGCTGAAGTTCAAGTTCAGAACCTGCATGGTCACAATGCTGGATTTTGGCCCCCACAAAAGAGATATGAAACATTTGACAAATAATTTAGATTCTAGTCTGTACTCTTTTAAAGTCCTGCTTTGATGTGAGGTCCTCTTGATCTTGTTGGGTTTTATTGCTCTGTGCAAGTCTACAAGTGCACAGCCAGCTACAGGATCTGAACTGTGTTAGCGGTTTTCTCCTGTAAGAGCCATCCTTATTTAACTTTGGCACATTACAAGTAACTGACTGTAAGCTAATAGTAACATTCTCTTCACCTCCCATAACCTGTCGTAAGATGAATAAACAGTCATCACAATCCAATGCAAAACTGAGAGTGTGAACGTCACTGAGAATGAAATACTGCAGTGGCTCTACCAAGTGTGATTCATATTTCTGATCTCAGTCCAGCTACTAGTGGGCAAGTGTCCACATCACAGCCCTGATGTAACTGGCACAATCTGTCCCACCTTTGCTGGAAACATGTACTAAAAATAAACAAACAAATAAATAAAAACACAGATTGATTTGTTGTCATGACTGAACCAATGCTAGCCCATAAGGATTGTAATGGACAGGTTAAAGTCCTTTRAGACAATCCTTTACTTTGCAATGTAATGGAGAAAGTCCAGGAAGAAAGACAGTTTGGATTTATTTGTTCGTTTTAGTCATCACATATTTATTCTACTGGACTAACTGCTTCATTTTTTAATCACTGCAAAGCAAAATGGACTTTCTGTGTTTCCAGAGCGTAAAGCTTTCTTATTATCAACCCACTAGGATTTTCAAGGATTCTGAGGCATCTCAGGTGTAAAAGATAAGATGTGGTGGTGTTTTCAGGATCCCGTTATTACTGTCAATATATGCAATATAGAACTCCATCAAATAGATTACTTGAAACGCCCTCTTTGGTAGATCTTGACTTTTAACATTGTGTTTACCTTTTAGATGATGCTTCCCCTGAAAACTTCTCTTTGGCATTTCCAGAACTAGATCAGCAGCTGCAGGTAAACTTTTCTTCTGYTACAACAGTTCTACTTCACTCTCACTGYATTTGYTGTTATAARAAGCTTCTRGTTGTTACACTAAGGTGAAAGTTTKTAGTGGTGCTTTTCTAGCYTATTAATATTYAGTAAGACCGGATATATCCATAGAAGAAAACATTGCCTTTCAAGACCTACATAAAATTTAATCTGACATTTTTAGTCCATTTGCAGGGAAATTACTATTTTAACAATCTCACGTCCTTCTAAGATTTTGTATACAATTCCTGCAATGCTGTTGCACTACATTGAAGAGAGCCCTTGTTCATTTGATGGGAGAAGGAATGAGCCCAGTATTATATATTCTCATGCCTGCAGGCTGTGTTWTGACTGATATCAGTTTTCTCAGAARCATTCTAAGAGAATCCTTTTGTGAGAAGTCTGATTTGTCAGCATAAGATGATGGACCCCCAATATACTGGACAGTGAGCATTTGATGGCAAMCCCATGATTCACCAGGCACAAAGCTAATTCTGCATCCAGGGATTACTTCTCTTTCCTCTGTGGAGGTTCTGGGGTGTTGGCTGGCTTTTGTGGACTACTTCAGATCAGCTGTTTTTCCAGGAGCATTGACTCCCTCTGATATCTCACTATGAATACAGTTGTTTCCTGACTAAATTGAGAAAGGCATTAGCAGACAATTAGTTGCCCAATAAAGTCATCTTTCTTGTAGCCATCAACCTGTGACAACGCAGGAGGGCTGCTGACTTAAAGGGCTGACTCTTTTGTCCTGCTGCTCTCACCAAAAGGATGACTGAGAAAGGAATGGAGGATGACCAAGACTTTTCTTACTCTAWGCTTCTCATCTTGAGAATATGGGCAGGTTCTGTAGGCATAAGTAAGAAAGAATAACAGTTTAAGATTTGGGACTAAAGGAACAGGGTAATATGCTGATCTCTTTATTCCACTAACCTTTCAGTGCAGCAAAGATGATTGATTTTTTTCCATCAGAAGAATTCAATTTGAGAAAAGCAATAATGTTTCATGGCTGAAGCACTGAATTGAAAGTAAAGAACCTGCATTTTGTTTCCAACTCTGTCAGTGACACATTGCCTAACCTTGGAGTTGCTTCATCCCTCTGCTCATTTCTGAAATTAGATTAATAATTTTTACCTTCTTTGTTAAAAAGCATTAAGATCAGTGGGTGAAGAGGCTCTAAAAGAGCAAAGTATRGTTATTATTGCTGCTGTTCATACATAAAAACAAAATTACTAGCATTAGATGTAAGTGCTTTACAGGACGAGTGATGATTTTTTTTATTAGGACTTTTATGACCCATATTTCTGGAACCTATARTATGCTCTAAATAAGGAATTTCATGATAGACTGAAGATGCCCCTCTGGAAGCATTCAAGTGTGCTGGATAAATAGTAGCCCTTTTGTAGAAGTTTTTAAGTGCACACTAGCACAATTCCACTAAGTGCACCCTATTGATCTGTCAAATACTTGACATTTTATTCAGGAAAATCTCCTGTACTCTCATGGTCTCAATATGATAACAAATTTAAATAAACAATCAATGGCTTTGATTCAGATGATGTGCTTTTTATTATCCTTCATAAACTCTCTTGGTAATATCAGGGCTGCTGAAAGGATAACTTATCAGTTATAACTTAAAGGAGAACTCAACCACTCAAAAGTATAAAATTTGTGGCAGCACTTCATCTTTAGCTTTTCAAGTTTATGTGCACATTTTTCTTTTGATGCCCTTATGTTCATCCAGGGGCAATTAAGTCAACACAGGGTTCACTGAGCTGATGCAGAGGTAACACTGCATTTAAATTCAGCAACAAAAACTCAAATTTCCTTGCTTTTGTCAATTTGGATCACAGCTTCATGTGATAACTACTTATGTAATTACAGTATTTTTATGCCACTTTAAAATTTCCAACAAGCAATAACTGTCACAMAGTTAGATTTACCGAGTTACATTTTCTTATATTGTGATTTTTCAATTGCTACAATCCAACCTGCTGAGGGTTTGTCAGAAACATATGGCRAGTGCTTATTTTTTTATGGCATTGCAATTCATTCCAGCTTTGAAACAGGTAGCTCCTGTATTTCAGCAACAAGTAAACATGGGCCTCACCAGGACCTGCAAACATATGAACAGTTGTGTCCTTTGTCGTTCCRTCCATGCTTATTTCTGTCCCAAAGTGAGTTAACATAAAGCAGCAAACATGAAGGGTTGTACAAATTAACCTTTTAATCAACTGTGGCATAGCAGCCTGAAATGCTTGAATTTRTAAGAATGCTGGTACATATGTTCGTAATAAAAATATCACATCTTAGAGCCACAAGATCACTGTGCCATAAATACAGTCAAAACCATTTGAATTTTATTTAAAGAAGCAAACTATAAATGCAGGTTAGATGGTTATATTATAATAGGCACCTTAAAAGAAAAAACTTTTCAGGTTTCAAGCATACAAAGGAGAATTTTGAAACCTGTTTTAAAAACAAACAAAGAAAAAGCCCAAATTAGCTGATCTTTAAGCTGGATTTTGAAAGCAGCTTGAAAGCTATGTAAGTTCACCGAGTCACTTGGAAAATCAGAGCCTTAGAATTCTATGCATGCAGGCAGCAGACCACAGCCTGAGTACCAAGCAATTTGCACCTCTGTTTTAGGCTTCGAGCCCTCGTCCTCCTATGTTAGGCCCTGGCAGACAACTTGGCTATTTGAGCAGAATTACCTAGTGGTCCCACTTTTCCTCCCACAATCCTTCCATACCTATTCCCTGGGCAGCAGTATCCGATGGCAGGRCAAAGTTCAGTGCAGCCTTGGCAGGGTAACAAACCCTGCTGTCCAAGCACCCAGTTCTACAGAGGTAGAGGTGGGATTGCCTGGAGAGAAGGTCTTTCTAGGAGACTTAGCAAAAAAGCTAATYCTCTATAAGTACCCTTACTAATGAGCAGTTCTAGTTGMAGCTTCTTTCTGAAGAATAAAAATKATCAGTCTGTATTCTGATGTACTAGCTAGCTTCAGACTGAAATGTTTTATTTTCCAATTTATTTTTTYGATGTTACATTTTTCTACACATTCCAGTAAGCAATTTGTAAGAAAATAACTCAACTACTTTAAATCAAAATTGATATGTGGTCAACCAGACACAAAAGCCCTACATATGAGAACAGAGCAGTTTAAGCTATATTTGCAGCTTCATGACCAAAAAAAAAAAAAAATCAAACCACCATACACTTCATGCTAAGTTATCAGTGAAACAAAAGTGATATTAATAAACTTCTTGCTTTCAATTCCTTTTGTTTGCAGTATTGGAAATTATTCTCTTCCCACTGACAATAAGCAATACCTGCTTATTTGGGCTTTGATGTCATTTCCCCCCTCCCATGTGTGAGCCATGTGGGGGGTGGTGCAGCAAGGGTAGGCTGGTTACACTTCTCATTGGTAACTTTAACCTTTGCCTTGTGTAAAAGCTGGATGGGTCCTTGGAAGGCACTTCCTTGATTAGCTTCATCCTGGCCCCTCTGACAGATACTTTACTACGGGTTTTCTGCTATATTTAGACACCTACATCAGCATCCAAGGCCTTGTTGTTCGGGTCACTGAATGGAGAGGAGGGTATGTGGTGTTAAGTACCTGCATTGCTATGCTCTGTGCGTGTTCTGTCCCATTCCAACACTTCCTGTCACTTGGTCAGTTCATCTCTCTGATCTCCATCAAARCTTTATTCCTGAGAGTCTGATTCAGGAGAGGGAAGAACACAAGTCACATATGCATACACAGTGTGTTCTAAAATGCTTTATCTTTCAAAACCAGGGCTCTGAGTGACCTGGTCTAGTGGAAGGTGTCCCTGTCCATGKCAGGGCATTGGAATGAGGTAATCTTTGAAGTCTTTTCTAGCACAAAACAATTCTATGGTCTCTTCTCATGAAATTGTGAGCTTGGGTGACATTTATGTCATATTTGATATTACATATCTGTTTAGCTGGATGACTATAAAATTGCTGCAACAGGTATCAGTTTKTTAAGTCAAAGAATAGTTTTTCTTGCCTCAGTGGAGAATACCTATATAAAGGAAGCAATGAAAATGTTATGAAAGGGGTAGTTATGTGTGATATAAGAATTTAGCAGAATTTAGCAGAAACCTTGAACTTTAATTGCTTCTACTGAATGCTAGCATTCTTGTTAGACACTCACATTTATTTTAGAATTTTTAAAAGTATACTGTGGTTTTAAAGACTATGCTGTATTTTTTTTAATACATATTAATTTCTATGAGAATTCCTAGACCACTGTTGTACTCCATAATTAAACTTGATGGCCTATGAACTTGATAAGTCTCCTGTAATGCTGCTGTGATAACTATGCTCTTAGATTATGTAAGACATGCATATTCACCAAGTCAGCATCATATTAAGGTTAGAAAAGAATGGAAAATCTCCCAGGAAGGAGAGCAAAACTTACAATTGCTCTCATCCAGTTGAYCTGGATTGTTTGGAGGAAAGAGAATGGTTTAGTAGTAAAACTAGACTAGACAAGATATATCCTAAAATAGACATCTGAAACCGATGGAAGACTTCCAGTTGAACAAAAAAAAACTAGCTGCAATGTACTATTTTTGTTTGATACAATGTGGTTTTTTCTATCATAAAAAAGTGCACAAAGCCATATTATAAACATAGGCCACATTCAAAATATTGCCATTGGATTTTCCAGTTTTCCAGGAGAGTTTAGTTGAAATGTACTGAATTTACAAAAAGCAAGAAACCACTCTTTAATTAAACCAGTGCTGAAGACTTCTAGACAAGTTCATGTGAGCTGGCAAAATTGCCTGATACAGTTTTTTCTTCAAATGTCAACGTTTTCAAGAGAAAATTTTCATTTTTTTTCACAGTTAAACAAAAATGTAAATGCAAAATAAACCATTGTGAATGAAAAAAAATCAACTGTTTTAAAGTTTTTGAACAGGTGCGTGGCACTGTCAGCTATACATCTTTTGTGGATATGGAATGCTGATGTTCATATGGCAAGGCAAAAGAACTTGTCACGTGAGTGAAGCAAAAAAAAAAAGCAAACCTGAAAACTGTCATTCTGTGTCCCCAGCAAAGCTTTTATTTAGAAGGCCTCCTTCAACCTCCCTTAAAAAGTGGGCAGAGAGGAGGCCACCAAGATGATTAGAGGAAWRGAGCAYCTTTCTCCAAGGAAAGCAGGTCCCTTCCAACCCAAAGCTTTCTGTGATTTTCTGTTTCTTTGTGAAATTCCTTTGCATGTCATCTTCCAACATCTTTCATACCTAGATTCTGAACAAAAGTCTAAATAAACAAGGCATATGTCCTGTAAATATCTACATACATCAGTGCAGTTGCAGGATGGTCTATAAAAGGATCTCTTAGTGTCTACTTGCTGGATTCTGTAGAACATTTGTCGGTGTTACAGTGAGTTACGCAACAAAATACAGGGAAAAATCAGACCTAGCTGAAAATAAGGCAAAATAGAATAGACCACCAGTATAACTTACAACTGTAGCTTTTGTACTGGCTTTGTGAACAAAATCAGAGATGCTGCATGTGCCTATTTTGCCAGCMCAGGAAAATGAGAGTGGATGACACYGAAGCCTGAAATAAACAGGTTTAAAAGTAGCAACTGTTGCCATTAAATGTAACTTWCTTTGGCAGAGATGTTTTTTGCTTGTCTAGCAGGTATGCTTTTATTTATACTAATTTATGGACAGGCAAGGTACTTAATTGAACTAGCAAGCTCAGGCTGTCCTAAGAGGAAGTTAAAGTATGTTTGTTTGCTTGTGAGTAAAACATAAAAAAACRTACTGCAAACTGAACTTTATTAAAGCCTTCTGTAATTAGTCACGTTGGTAAACTAGCAATCTYGTAACATAAAAATGTTATACAAACTTCGTGGAATGCCATTAGGTGGTATCTGCAATACTTCCCATTACCTGGCCACAGATATTTTTAAAAAGYCTTCCAGGTAGAATGGAGACTTGTATCTCTCCTTTTCCCATGTTACTGCAGTAGAAGGTGTTYGCAAAATAAGCCTGTTTCATATCCTGCTGGCCAGAAATTATTCATGGACACTGTAGGTACTATSTCTGAAACCTTTCTTAGAAATTTCCRAATTACAGGGAAGCAAAYCAAAATCTCCAGTTCTGGCTGCCCCATCCCTGGAAGTGTTCAAGGCCWKGGTGGATGGGGTTGAAAACAATTTGGTCTAGTKCAAACTGTCCCTGCCCATGGCAAAGGGGTTACAACTAGATGTTCTTYAAGGCACTTTCCAACCCAAACAACTCTATGACATGATTCAATGWTAATCTRTCCAGTCATTTGAAAACACAATCAAAATTAGCAAAGTTCTTGATATAGTGCCTAGTACCATGAGACAAGATTGAAAATCATTTTATTACCATAACATGAGTAAACAGATTTTATAATTTGTTTTAAGTTTAATTTAACTGCTAAAATATAAGAAAAATGTCACTGAAGATGAAGCAATGATATGAAGGGSTTTAGAAGTCAGCAACTGGTTCTAAGTGAGACTTAGATACCAAGTTTCAGCATGACTAGATAATTTTTAGCTCTCTATATATATCTTTTGAGTGGGAAGCTGGAATATAGAAACTGAACACTGTTTTATTTTTTAAATTGGTTTAAACCAGCTAGATTAGCAGAAACTAAGTTGGAAGCAAATCCAAGGTGGGTTTTGTTTTGTTGTGTTTTTATGAAGTATCAGTGTTTGGGGAACTTATCCCTTGGTACTGTTCAAAATTGTTTTATTGTGACGCACTTGTTGGTGGCTGATCTCTGGTAGATAACAGAGATGCTGCTTTGGCTCATCCTTACATTCTTGGATTAGAGCACTGAGACTTCTATATTCAGTCTTGTTAAATTTATGCTTTTTATTTGGGTGGCTATATGAATGGCACTATTGCTCATCCACATTGAAATGCAATTAAAAGCCCTTTCCTAGGGATTAGATTCATCAATGGGCTGCCCTTAGCCGGGGTCCCAAAATCTCCAAAATTGGGRTGAATGAAACAATGTGCTGCTATACAATTCTGCTGCAGCAGTTTTACATTTGGAACATGGAAAATTAGTGTCTGTGTTAAAATTTCTGGGAGGAATCACATGCCATCTACAAGTACTTGCAAGGTCCATACGTTACTTACATCTGTGCTTGGGGTTATGTCTGAAGCYGTTTTACCCTGTCTCCTGGATAAAAATGTTTTCAATCTTTGTCTCTGAATATGTTTAGTAAATTATAAATTTCCAGTTTCAATAAAACAAAGGATTACAGGATCATAAATAGGAAAAGTCTGACTACTTGTGCTTTTTTTTTTCCTATTAATGTCATTAAGAGRGTATTATACTACACAGAAGAGTCAAGGCAGGACAGCAAGAATTGCAAAATAATCTAATATTGTGAAATGCAATTGGATATTATTTAACTGGGCAGTAAAGGCACTATTTTAAGTGTTTCCTTTTACTTCAAACAGGTGGCTCAATCATGCTATTTGGAGTTCATTTACAGTCAGTAGATTTATGGCTAATAACTTAAAAATACTTCCTGAAAATGTTATAACTGAAATGTGACAGTCAAGCCTGAAGCCTGAATTAAGATGCATTCTTCTTTAAGGAGAAAAAACACCTACATTTAACTAAACTGTATTTTTAAGGACTTGGCTGAAATTCACACGAGGAGTCCTAAGACAGAGTGGTTTTATTTGCCATATTTGTTACATTCATCATGCATTGAAAAAAGTTGGTCTTGCTGCAAGTATGTCAGTTCCTGCAGTGAAAAGATGTTCATGTGTGTGATGGATCTGACCAATGCATCATCTTTTGCATTTACAAATCACTCTAGCTGAAAAAGAGGGGGGTATGGGAGGCATCCTTCTTTGAACAATCTTGACAAGGAGAGTTCTGAAAATTCTTATGAGGTTTGAAGTTTTACATGTATTCTTATGCAGAGARCTGTTCTGGGTTTTTTCTTTCTATGAGAGGCCATCACTAGGAATAGCTAGCCATATCCTGCAATTTTTAAGGGGAAAAAGTTGTTTAGGTATTCTCACAGAAATTTAGATAAATTTTGTCTCTTGCAAAATATGTGGGGTTTGAACTAAAATTTCATTCAAAAAACAATGGGTTTTTTTTCCTTCTTTTTCTTAAAGCCTCTGCCTCCTTGTCATGACTCTAAGGAATCTATGCAGGTGTATAAACAGCACTGCAAAATAGCAGAAGAGTACCATGAGGTCAAGAAAGAAATTGCTCTGCTGGAAGAAAGGAAGTGAGTAACTTTCCCAAAGGATTTACTGTTGCATATTCTCTTTGTAAAATCCTGTTTGAAACATGAGGGTTTAACGTATTTTCTGACCTTATATACCTATACGCTTATATGTATATRTGCTTATTTATACATACATTATAATTGTGGCCTTCCAGTATCTGAAGGAAGATGGAGAGAAACTATTTACAAGGGTCTGGAGTGACAGGACAAGGGGGAATGGCTTCAAACTGACAGAGGGCAGGTTAGGTTGGATACTGGGAAGAAATTCTTCCCTTTGAGGGTGGTGAGGCCCTGGCACAGGTTGCCCAGAGGAGCTGCGGCTGCCGTATCCRTGKAAGTGTCCAAGGCTGTGTTGGATGGTGCTTGGARCAACCTGGTCTAGTGGAAGCAGTCSCTGCCCATGGCAGGGGGAATGGAACTGGATGATCTTTGGGGTCTCTTCTAACCAAAGCCATTCTGATTCTGTAATTTCATACCTTTGCCTGATGGTCACAGTAGGGCACAAATTGGCCATTACTCTATAGGAACAACTGAGGCCACTAAGGGCTGTCACAGTTCTGGGCCCTGTGGATGTCCCTTAAAACCTTCATTGACAGCCTCCAGGTCACATAACAATCCAGTATAACTGGTCCAGGTTCCCTTCTCAATTTTAGGGGATTTTTTCTTCAGTTGAACTTCGCACACTTTAATGAAGAGCATAAATGCTCATTTAGGCTTAGAATACTTGACAATATTAGTAAACATGTTTCTGTGAGGTGCTTTGTTTTTGTGTACATTGGTTCAATGTACATTGGCATTTCAGGTGTTCATACACAAAGAGAATAAACTGGAGACGTTTTTCTTGTCTATGGCCTGTACTCATAGTCCTGTCATCTTTTGCCTGACTATTAAATGGCAAAGTGCATTCTGTGGCTGTTGGTCCCTTTCCACAAGAAACCCAAAATTCAGAGAGAGGAAAAACAGTGAGTAGTGAAATCTCTGCCCAGCTGACGTTGCAGTTCAGCAACATTTGMATCCATGGGAATCTTCAGCTGCAGAAGCAGGATGATGGGACGGAAACTCTTGAAATCCTGTAGTCTTAAAAGAAGCCAAAGAACTCCCTCAATCCAAACTAWGCAGGATAAGCAAGTGAAATGTCTTTATCAGGGTTGATGACTTTGAGCACAATACAGTTACTTTTTGCCTAAAGTACCAAAGCTAGTTGAAGTTTCCCACTAAACATCCCCTTCTACTGAAGGACCTGTGTGGTACTCCGATGCTGATACACTGACACAAAAGCTAAAAAAGATGTCCAATGCCATGGAAAAATGCATGACATGGCCGTATTCACATTTGATTCATCATTAATTGAACTTGGCCAATCAAAAGTAATTGGTGTTTTTAAAAATGGGAAAATCATTAATTCAAAAACATTTGTGAAGATTTTTCAAATTTGCTTGTCTAATATGAGTTGCTTACATCATTAAATAGCATTGATCGCTATTTAGCAATCAGTTCCATGTGGAAACCATGGAAACCATGGTGGAAACCATGTGTCTGTCTACTCTGTAAATCCAAGTGCAATATAAAATATTAAATTTATTAAATTTAAGTACTTAAGTCGTATAAACCCCAAAGCTAATCTTAAATCATTTGGGTTTTAGAGTCTAGTAATATAAATCCATTATTATTATTATTATTATTATTATTATTATTATTATTATATCTCTGAATCAGTTGTGCCTATTTATGAAGAATGCTTGGAGCCTATGAAAACGAGACATTCATGTATATTTTTGCACTCTCTGGAATGAAAAAGATTGTTGTTTGAAGACACTTTTTTTATCTGTAGGTCTGGGGCACTRCCTAAATTAGAAATTGTTGGCTTCTTGAGAATGACAGGTACATGCACAAAATTGTTTACCTGAGCTCACTACTATCCTAATCAACCTCTGAGCCCAGTGGTCAGCCTCTCAGTGGTGCTTATCCTGGATGAATTAAAGGGCTTCAGACTGGCATTTTCCTTCATTCCACCAGTGGATGCCAACAGTGGAACAATGTCAGGAAGCTTCCACCACTGCTATCTTTGCTGAACCATGTGAATTCCATGCCCCAGTAAACGTATGTTAAGAGTAACTGAATAAGGCAGCAGATGGAATTATATTATTGTGACTCTAATACGCGCCTTCTAATTACATAGCTGAGGCCTTGTGTTCACATGCTGAATAGCTGTGAAATGCCTAAACATGACAAATATGTGGGCAAAACCTTTCATACCTCCCATGTCTCTTAATTAGAAAAAGTCATCCTACAGCACYGGCATCAAAGATGTTTCATTTCCTACAGCCTGATTTTGAGGCTTARCAAGCTGCAAGTGTCAACTGAAGATATTTTTCTTCAGGTGTGGACTGTTTATAACCCTTCCCTCCAGGTAGATTATCCATTTTGTAGTATTTTGGAGCAGGTTTCATGAGACTGCCTTTCCCCCATGGGGTATCTTCCCTTTCTGTGGCAGTCTGCTTTTATTAAACTCTCCAGAAACTAGTTGGGACCTCTTCACCACATGAAACTTGGTTGAAATTCAAAGGTGGATTAGAAAGTTGTTAGGGTACATWGAACTTTACACACATATAAGCAAACTAACCTGAACACATTACCCTTGGTTTTTATCTAAAACTAGATAGAAAGGGAGTATAAGTTGGAGGCAAAGGAGTAAGCAAGAAGTAAAAGTTTTACTCTAGTGTTCACTGATTTATGTCTAAAAACATTCTCAGCACTTACAGTTTGAGAGTTTAAAGTAGTTTAGGGGATAGCATATGTTGAATGAAGAGTGGATTATAATGGCTGGGGTGGTATGCATGTTTTGCTTTGTGTACATATATATATACACACACATATATATATATATAAAATACATTATACTTATATACATGTATATAATTACATATATGCCTTATAGTTGTGGCTTTTCAATACCTGAAGGGAGCCTGCAAGAAAGATGGAGAAAGATCGTGAGAGATAGGACAAGGAAGAATGGTTTTAAACTGACAGAGAAGAGGTTTAGATTGGATATTAAGAAGAAATTTTTCCCTGTGAGGATGTTGGGGCACTGCAACTGGTTGCCCAGAGAATCCTGGCTGCCCCATCACTGGAAATATTGAGTATTCCATTCTTAGAAGGGAAGGATGCTTTGACTTGTCTARAAAGTCTGATGATATGCACAAGCTTTTAGTCTCAAAACAAATTATAATCAAATTGAAAACATGGAGCTTGCAGCTTTCTAAAATTTGCCCCTGCTGTGGGTGTCTTCTATATTTGAATATGAATTTATGGAAACTAAGATTCCCAATTGCCTACTACATCTGTTATCTATCCTCTATTTCTCTTTAATATTATTTTGATAAAATGGACAATGATCAAGTTTCATCCCTTGTAATGGGAACAAACAGGTTTTATAGTGTTTTTCAATGTAYATTTTTACCAAAGGCAGTCACAAGTGCTGTTGGATGGGTATCCTTGCCAGTGCTCCCAACTTCTCTCCACAGRTCAATTCACCTGTGTAATTCCAATGTCAGGTCCCTTCTGGCAGTGGCTGTACCTGTGGTGCCTGCTGATAGTACACACAGAATGCTATGATTGACAGGAAAAAAAGCAGGAAATGGATTGAGCAAATGTTTTTTTATTTGCTGGCTAGGAGGAAGAAATAATGTTAACCTGACATAAATATCTGTGCAGGTATTAGAGCCCTTTAATAAAAAAAAAAAAAAAAAAAAAAAAAAAAAAAAAAAAAAAAAAAAAAAAAAAAGGAATGAAATTAATTCTACTTTGAACAATTTTTGTTCCAATCTCCAAAGTTCAGTGTAACCTTTCATTCATGAAATAACATATTCAGGATTTTGGGGTGTTTTTTTTAAGGAAGTTGACAAACATTGTTTTAAAAATAATAAAAATCATTGAATCTTTTATAACTTTTCAAAGGCTTTTACTTCTGCTTCACCTGTAATGTGAGCATGAAGTATGGCTGAAGTAAAAAGACARTGAAGTGAAATGACAAGGGTTTCTTTTCATCAAGGCAAGAACAAAGCTTACTTTTGCTCTTTCTCTTTTGTGCAATATAGAAGTCAAGAGAATGCACTAGGCTGGGAGTGGGAGCAAAGAYAACAAGTATTTCACAGGAAAATGGGAAATGTGAGTGAGAAAGAGAGGTTGCAGTTTCAAAAAATGGAAAATCAAAGGACAAAAAAGCAAATAAGGATGGGAAAAAAAGTTACTCAAGAATAAAAAAAGGAAGCAAAAATTTGAAAGAATATTGGGTAGATTTTTTTGCTAATTTAATCATGGCATTGTTTGCTGTCTTCACTCCAACTCTTCACATTTATGCCAGCAATATGTAGTACAAAAGGAAAAAACACTGGAATGGGAGACACGATTGAAAATAAAGAAAAGGGTGTGGAAGCGAGCWCACACTGCATTTAGGGCACAGAATGTAATTTAATTTATGTTCCAGAAACACACATGTATTTCCATAACAGATGGTTTTGGGTATCTAACTTTGGGTGAAAGGGATGGGATGGCTGGTTATTTTGAGCACTTGTTATATTGCTATTACTAGATAATGACCCTGGATTATGTAGTTAAATATTAGAGTTGCCATGGTTGCTCGCTGTATCTTGTATTCTTAGCACTGGCTGGTTATCTCTTTTTCCTCCCCCAGACAATTYTAATATAACTCTACAGAAAATATCACTTATCACCACCTGGTTTAGAATCACTCCTTTTCTTTGCCATGAATATGATTTCTTTTTCTTCTTTTACACATTACAGTAGACAGAGGTTCATAGAATTGTTATGGTTGGAAAAGACTTTTAGGATCATCAAATGCAACCACCAACCCAGCAGCACCACCTCCTTGTTCACTATTAAAAACTGTGTCCTTGAGTGTCACCTCCTCGTGTTTTTCTGAACACCTCCAGCGATGGTGACTCCACCACTTCCCTGGACAGCCCATTCCAGTGTGTGACAAGCCTTTCCATCAAAAAGTTTTTTCTAATACCTAATCTGAACCTTCCCTGGCACAACTTTAGGTCATTTCCTCTTGCCCTGMCCCTTGTTCCCCAGGAGCAGAGCCTGACCCCCTGGCTCCACCCTCCTGTCAGGGAGCTGTGGAGAGCAAGAACATCSCCCGTGCACCTTCTTTTCTYCAGGCTGAGTTMMCCCAGCTCCCTCAGCTGCTGCTTGTGCTCCAGCCCCTTCCCCAKCTCTGTTCCCKTCTCTGGACACACTTCAGCCCTTCAACGTCTCTCTTGTAGTGAGAGGCACAGAACTGGACTCAGGACTCAAGGTGTGCCCTCACCAGTGCCCAGCACAGGGGAACAGTCACTGCCTGATCCTGCTGGACACACTATTGCTGATCAAATCCAGAATGCARGTGGCCCTCTTGGCAAATGGCATGCAGTGGAGATGTCAGCTTCATTTTGTGGGAGCCTTTCACATGTTTTAGCTTGCTCTCATGATCATAGGACTGTTTATAGGCTTTTCAGTCCAGAGAATTTCTCCAGGTACGCTGTTTCTTGAGTGTCTTTCCCAACACTTTCAGACTTCTAGATACTTCAGAAAAATATTGGTGTAAACCATATAGGCAACCTTTTGGCTCAATAATTTTCCTATTCTAGACCTGTTTTGTCATCATCTCACATGTATGCAAAATATATGTTACTTACCAAATAATGGAAATTAAATAAYAGCTTTTCTAATAAAAAGAGAGACCTCCTCTTCTAGAGGAAGGTGTCCTTTCCTTAGGAAGGTCCCTTCCAACTCAAATTATTCTGTCATTCTGCGGCCTTTATTCTGTGTTGGCATCTGAGACATATTTTCATTCACATTAAAGGAAACTTTAATGTCTTTAATAGTGTTGTTTTTAAATTAATTAGTAGACTTTGAACATGCAAGGACAATGTCCTCAGACAGCAATTATCTTACAGGGTCTCATAATTCCGCTGAGGTGAAAGCCGTGCAAAATGTGGGGAGAGAAAAGGAGCTTAAGGCCACTATTACACACCAGTTGTCTTACTCTACTGCCACAGATGCATGACCCTGAATACCTTGTTCACAATAGGGGAAAGACAAACATAATTCTTTTTATTCTGGGAGCTGTTGTCTTTGTGTTCAGTACATCTCTAAATACACTCATCTCCAGATAGATTTATCTGCTTAGTCTGTCAATTTTCTTTGTATTTATTCCTTGTGAATATGAATGTTAAGGAGTTCTGTTCTCTGCATGGTCAGTCATCAAGGCCAGAACAAGAGAAATAATTTCCCTAAGACCACACTGTGTTTTTCTCCTGCTTTGGCATGGCTTGTGGTTTATTGGCTTATGATGCAAATCACTAATGTTGCCTCCCAAACCCCTCCCAAAAAAGAACACTCCAAGTGTACATTACAGATTGTCTCAAAGCTTTCAGCACCTCGGCACTAGTTTAGAAAATACCTTATCAATACTGTTAATATTTAATCTTGGGGTAACCATTAACAGAAAACTCAGATTACACAGWGCTACATCTATTTATTAAGCACCCACAACAAAGTCTAGATGGCGCAAGGGCTCAGTATGGTGTTCTTTAACCACTGMAAGCTAAGTTCAAATCTTGGATTAGATCAGATGCAAATGTTAGTTACTGTCCTCACCCTTTTGTGAGCTCCGTAAACTACACCATTCATAACATTTAGCAATTCCCTGGTAGGCTAATTTTAGATCTGTGGCAGGCTGACAGTATTAGCCTGAAACATCACTCTACCCCGTAAACAGGTGTTGATCCTGATGGGAACAGAATMAGTAGGTTCTGCTGACTCAGAAGTGGGCAATTTTACTACTTCAGTGCAAGGAAACTGTTCTGTGTGAGAGAGGTCTGAGAGTGTGGACTACAGCAATTGATTTAAATGCATTTATAGTTTGTTTGATAGCAAAGCTAGATCCTGGGGAGGGGGGAGTGAAGTTATCTGTGCTGCTTGCATATTACTGRAGAGCAGCATGAAAGCCATGCCTGCACAAAATGTCATCAAATCAGGACTGACATTCATTAATAGAGCTGTCTGAGTTTGCACGTTGTCTGTCTGTACCTCTCYTGGAACAAGTCCAGAGTAGTCAGTACCATTCCTTTTCAAGCATTGAAAGACCCTGCAGAAAAGGTTTACCTGCTTTTAGAATGCTGAGATTACATATTAGTGTGTTCACTGCATCTCCCTTTAAGAAGCTTGTGAGTGCAAGAAAAGTAAGGAAGAATGATTCTGAATTAATTTGTGTGGGCACTTCTGATTTTATAGTGTGTAATTTAAAAGAGCTTAATTTAATCTGTCAGTCCGACATTGCAACAGAGAATAACTGTAAAGAAATATTGCAGAAACTCTCTTTTGGTCTCAGAGACAAAAGTCTTCCAGAAGTCCTGAGAGACTGAAMAAAAMCAAAAAGCTGCTGGACATGTAAAACCTCATTGTCCCTGAATGTATTTCTCACATGAGGTCACTCCTCCATGGCTTCTGTCCCATGAACTTGCTGTCTAGCAAGATCATCTTGGCCTCTCTGAAAAGTGGTTGATGTAGAATGGATCACAGACAAATGAAATTGTTAGTGTCTCGCTGCGTTTAAAACTTGTATGGCTATGTTGTGTTAAATGCAAACAGAATTCTGCTGAGCTRAAATACACTCTTGATATTTTCTCTCAAAAGCCTGATTGAATGCACCTTTCATCTCATGAAAGGAAAGAGAAGAGACTTTGCTGTATCATAGYTGCTCTGCATTACCTCAGTAGTATAAAACAAGCCATTATATAGGAGGATGCCTATATGCTGCCCCTTTGGGATGATTTAAAGTTTCTGTAATGCCTGCTAACTCTTCTCTCTTTTTTTCCTTTTTTTTTAATGTATGGGAAGCACAGTTGGTAGAAATGGCTGTGCCAAGGGTCTCYTCTAACTTGTGTCTCCTTGAACTGCAGTAACTGTGACTGTAAACAGTCAGCTAAACCATGGGCAAACTCTGCTATCACTGAAAGCTGTGATAGCAGTAAAGACAGAGGAAGGTCAAWTTGATCCTAAAAGAAGGCCAGACAGAAGTGTTTCTCAAAAGCCAGATTTACAGTTTTGCTGCTGTAAGYGTAGCTTTGCAGCTAAAAGTAATGTAAGTGATCACAGAAATGTTATCTTTTCATGAATACCCTGACCTGTGGGAATAGACTCTGATCTCTAAGAATTTCCTGCCTGAAAGCRTTGGTCTAGCCTTACAAGAGGTCTCCTTTAAGGACTGCAGCGAAATCTATTCACTTTGAAGGCATTAACAACTTCCCACTGATGATCTACAAACATTGTTTTGACATGACTGAGAAATAAAGTCACAGGTCTATGAACAGTTAAAAGATTAACTAATCTCTGAGATAGAATGATCAAAAGAACCTTTTAGAAGAGACTTCCTGTAACAGGGGTGAATTTTTGACTTAAGGGAAAAAAAACCCCAGAGGTCAGAGGCCAGGCCAGCCTGGTAGATGACTAAGGGGAGAGCAATTAGATACTCTCTGAGTTACTCATGCCTTCCTTCAGTGTGTTTTAAGACCTCTTTTATCTTAACTTGTGCTGAGGTAATTTCAGTTGATACTATACAGGAAACTCCAGCTCCTGGCCAGCTCTGGGAATACAGGGCACTGTGTGACTCCATCCAGAAAAAGCCACAGCTTAAATTCTCCCGTGTCTGCTCTTAAGAGGACCAGGAGGGGTCAGGTTTGCAGTTATATCACTCTTCCTTAGCAGCAGGGCTAAGGTCTGAGCCTAAATACATTAAAGAAACATTATATGTAGTTCAGGTTCAGTGCCTAGGACTTACTTCTATTTATTTCTAGCAGAGAAAAGGAAACCAAGAGCACTTCACTGAATTTACTTATAAATCTAACCAACCAAATTAATAAACCCTCACTCTCTTTCAATGATATTTAGTATCAGGAGAAAAATTAATTTTTATTCTTCTGGCAAAGTATTAGCAAGTCACGTCCAGTAACTCGATTCTCCACCATGAACTGCATGTTCAACTCTCACTGAAGTTAGAGAACACAGAATCATACAATCAATAGAATGGCTTGGATTGGGAGGGACCTTAAAGCTCATCCAGTTCCATTCCYTGCCATGGGCAGGAACAGCTTCCACTCACTAAACCAGGTTGCTCCAAGCTCAGTCCAACATGGCCTTGAACGCTTACAGGGATGGGGCAGCCACAGAGCCTGGGCAACCTGTGCCAGAGCCTCACCATCCTCCCAGCCAAGAATTTCTTCCCCRTATCCTGTTTCACCCAGCTGTGTGTCAAAGACATTCCCTTATCCTGTCRCCTGTGTGAAGAGTCCCTCTCCAGCTCTGCTGGAGCTCCTTTCGGTACTGGAAGGGGCTCTAAGGTCTCCCCAAAGTCTTCTCTTCTGCTGAACAGCCCCGAATAGAGAGACATGAAAACAGCATTTTGCAGTCTTGGTCATTGAACAGCAAACCCATCAGAGATTTTGGAAGCTTCATCTTTTAAAGCGAAAAAACAGGACTCCAAAAAAATAATTTTTCTAGGTCCTTGTTTCTCACAAGTTCAAGTACTATGAAGTAAGTTAACAACCCACAGCCTGCTTTGACTTAACATATTTTTGCCTACATTCATTTTTAATATTTGGGTTTTTTTCATAATCATCAGAAAAGAGCTGATTGCCAGACTGGAACAAGTGGAAAAAGAAAGCATGGATGCTGCTCAGCTGGCTAAGGAGTATGCAGAACTGACAGAGGAGAACCGAACACTGAAGCTGGCCCAGACGCAGTGCGTGGAGCAACTGGAAAAACTCAGGATACAGTACCAAAAAAGACAGGGTTCCTCATAACTGCCAACTAGCTCACGTGAGGCAGTTCATTCACRATTGATCCTGTGCTGGAAAGAGATTTTAAAATAAAGATCTGTTTAATATGTTGTAACACTTTACTACAGATACACAGTATGTAGAAGTCTATATTTGATTTAATGCTTGCCAGCCAGTAGCTTAATATAATGGATATTTCATCCATTATATAATGGATGTTTTATTTCAAGTAATGTAATTGAAATTAATCTATCCCCATTATATGTTCTAGTAGATCARGTTTCTTTTCTAAACATATTTCTTCCAATTTAGAAGATATGGACACACTAGAAAGTTATATAAATAGTCTCTATGTTGGAAATTTGGATCATACTAAGGCATACAGCAGGGACAATATTAATATATGGAATAGATGTATGTTAATTTTAGTTTGGTGAAGATTTTTTAAATTATTTTCCTCATGCCTAAAGTGTTTGGAAGTTATCTTGAAGCAGATCTCACTGGTAAAAATTATACTTCATATCAGTTTCACACTGTTGTGTATAATCTGAGAAACTGACATTAAAAATTGAAGTAAAATAATTTTTTTATCAAACAAGTGCACTGCCAGTGATAATTTGCAAGTTATGAAATTAAAAGGAAACAGATGAGATCAAACTTTCTTTCCTCAAGTGTAAGGATTAGTTGAGAGTCTTTTCATKGTACTTTTTGGCATGCAAGAAATGAAAAATTAATGTAAGAATCATAGTTTCAACTGAGACTGTCAGTAAAATTGTTGTGAGGAACTTTTGTTCTTACCTTCTGGTCTGTTTTGAAACATAAGGGACAGGAGTTCCATGATACACAAATAACCGGGAAGTAAAATGTGAGTTTTATTTCCTCTATTTAACCCTGTATTTTCATAGCTCAACTGAAAAATTTTTGTTATACTTCCATTTCTATTCATATAGTAGTTTTTTCATTAAAAATGGATGTAGAAAAGCCCTTTTATGTTCTGAATGTTCTCAAATTACATTGTATTTTTAGCTCTGYTTGACAGATGCAGCTTATTACATCTTCATGAGCTTGAAATTCAACTTGATGTGTTAGTAGTGAAATGTGCCTTAGTAATTGAAAACTATGAGTTTAAGATTTCCACCAGAATTTTAGCTTTGATTATTATCAYTAATTTATTATTAAAATTGAATTTCATGTTAATCAGAACAATTCCTGGCAGCAAAGGGGACACAAAAGAGTGACAAGGTGCCTGTTGTTTCTCTGTGCTAATTGCCTACAGTATTCCCTGCAGCATAGGTGTGAAAACTGGCTCTGTGTTACTCCAAGCACCTGGCTCTGAAGCACAAGAGTGTGAAGAGGTAGCAGGAGAGGACAACCTTGTTTCCACTTCTCCTSCTGAGCCACCAGGGCAGGATCAGCATCCAAACCTGGCACTGCTTCCTGCCATACCCGGGAAATCTCCACTCTGGAGGCATGTGCTTCCTGCTGGGATGCTCTGTGAGCAGTGTGGTTTATTCCTCTTTCCTTGTTATCTGAGAAATGAGATGAGAAACATATCCTGAAGAGCAATCAGAGCTTTGCTTAGAGCTCAGAACACCAGAGAATCTAGGATGTACCTTTTTTGGCCTATGTTTATGTGTTTTGAACAAGAGAATTCTCATTTTCAAATTAATTTGTCACTTTAGTCAGAGATTTTTCCATCTAGCTTTGAAAACATCATCCCGTCTGATGATTTCAGTGAATTCATTGAAAATTGTACAAAGAATTATTTTATTGACAGACTGGCTTTGGATGCAAATGGACCAGACTGTAGACCTTTACTTACAAATAACTGTGYTCACCTTGAAATTTTCTCTGTAAGTGCAGCCACTATGCTTTGGATATCAGAAAAATARCAGATCTTATAGTGAGAGAAAAATYTGAGGGAGTGCCACAGTCAAGTGGAGAAGGAAAGCTGGGCCTCATTTGTGAAAATCAGCACTTTGAGCAATAGTCAGGAAGTATGTTTTTCCTAACCTGTATGTACTGACCAGTATAGAAGATTTCAGGAAATAGGTGTGCAGACACCACATCTSTGGTGTAGTCCAGCTACCAGCCTGGATACATATGAAACTCTTAAACAATCCCAAACTAATTGAAATCAGAGATTTGTATTCAATTTTCACTGTAGCTATTTACAATCAAATTTTCCTCCTGCTTTTAGTAATGGTGAAAGTAAAAACCAACAGCCTTGTATGAACATATTTGCCTGCATGCATGCTCATGTGCCTGAGAGCAGTGACTCAGAGAAATTGCATCACAATACAAATGAGTAAAACTGATATAGAAGCWCCAAGGAAGAAAAATTAAAGTACCTCATGAAAACTATTTTTAAAGGAAAAAATAGTCATGGAAGTGGGATTTAAAGACRCACTCCCTACCCAGAAGGTAGGCAAGTGGAATTTTCAAAAAATATTCATAGGCAAGTTAAATTAAAATATAACATAGTCAATGTAACCCAGAAARTCATCCAAGTGTTGAAAAGAGTAAAGGTAGCTGGAACAACCTTCTGAGGAGAAACTGCTGTATCTATCATCCATCTCTTGATTTGTTTATCAAGAGAATAATAGTGAGAAATATTTTCACATTCAGTAAGTGTCCAAATTTGACATGCTGAGTTTTTCTCTAGACACAGTGGAGGTCTGCTGATTAAATAGCTGAAATTAAGCTTTTGAATAAAACATTTACCACATTGATCCTATATTTTCCAAGTGGACAATATAATTTGTATCCTGGCTGAAGTGGTTTGMACCTTGTATGYATCACACTGTAACAGCAAGTTTTATACAATTATTTCAAAGTTGGCTTTAGATTGTATTTCACCCAAGAATTTAGAAGACTGTTTCAGCTTTTGAGATCAAGTGCCAATGAAAGCTTCAGTTTTATAACATGTGACTACAACCTGTGAGAACTCCAGCTATATTACAGACAAAGTGCATTTCTTGCTGTTATCCAGACTATTCAGTTTATTAGAAGTAACCATRSCACTAYCATGGTAAATGCATTTGCTTCAAACCACTTAAACAGTGAAGTACATGCTTTTAAAATAAAAACAAGTCCTGTGCTTTCCATTTCCTATCATTGCTACCTAACTTCCTTCCATRGTAAAGAATGCTGAACAAACTCAATTTAAGGCTTCCAGTTAGCAAGGATATGACTCATGCGGTCTTGAAACAGCCAGAGCCGAGGGTGACTTCACACTTGGAAAGCCTGGAAGATGAGGACCTGCAAGTTTGAGTTTGGTGGCTTTTATTTTTAAATGTTTCCCTTTCCAGGATTATCTTTATTCTGTCTGGTTTTGTGAATTAATGATCTTTAGAAGTGCGTCATCTTCTCCCAGAGTCTCTATTACCATCTAGGCCTTTGTGAGGATTAAATGCAGTGTAATAGTGGGGACAAATAGGCACAGGTGGGACAGAGAGGTGTTCTCAGCCTTCCTTTGGGTTGTGTGGTTGGGGAGCTCTGCCATGTGGCCCTTTGCTGCTCCATCTCCTGTCGCAGACCACCTCGCAGAAACGAGCTAGTTACAGTCTTAATCATGAAGCCACTTGGTCTTTTTCCCTACCTAAAATATCTTTCTTGATCAACACATACAGTGGAAGTGTCTAAAGGAACAGGGGAGACTTGCAGGAGGAGTCTTGCCTCTCTTCCTRTGGGGGGTACAAGGTGTACAACAGTGGAAGAAAAGGGCTGCAGGGAAAGGAAGTTTGGTCCAGGCAGTGATGTGACAGGAAGAGCACTGGCCCTGTCCGGCAGGAATGTGAGGACACAAAACCTGGGTGCTGGCCTGACTTTTCTCYGCCATGCTCATTCTTCCACAGTCAYACCTGTGCACTCACAGCTCTGAGGGTCTCCTCCCTCCTGGTGGATGATATGGTGATACATATTGTTGGAAAACCCACAATGAAATTATTAACTGTCTTCATGACCGGCCTGGAAAGTGTGCAGCAATGAAATACTAAGGCTGAACAAGTTCYAAAAAGCTGGGCCGTGTTGAAGATGGCCCAAGTCCATCTCGATGGACTTCTCCAGGACAAGACCAGACACTGACTGCATGACTGCACCAAGGTGCATATGATGGAGTGAGGGAAGGTAGCAAAGCAGAGTTGGAGGGGCAGCYTCAACCTCACCATTTCCTGCACTGAGTCGCTTGGTTTTGCAATGTTAACTTGGGAGCTATCAAGATGGTCTTTCAGGTGCACACCAAAACTGTGAGGCTGACACTTTAAATACAAAGTAGACTATTTTATAATAATAAAAAATCTACCTTGCTTGAGACAGTGCGAGTCACCTCTAGCTTCCTCAGTGCTCTTTACAAGTAATGTTATGTGTTACTCATACCCATATGAATGAAAGATGACAACCATTCACAAATCACTGATATCCTCAACCCAGACTTCCTCCATTGCATGCTCCAGTGGTTTATGCTATGGAAAGCACAAGATTTAGCATATGAGTCACTCTGCTTTTCTACACACCAATTATCAGTTCCCCCTTCTAAAACTCAGTTCCTTCATTCCCCCTTGACCACAATCCATCCCCACTGAGTAAGCAACGTCAGCCTAGAGTTCAGATCCAGCTGGCTGATGATCTCATGACATGGCCTGATGATGACCATGTGCTCAAGGTGGTTTCCAAATGCTACATGTGATGTTTTGTGGTTTGGTGCTGGTATGTGGCAGCAAGGAATTCTACCAGCCTGCAGGTGCCAGCTGTGAGAGATACTTGGTTTCCTTGAACTGGCTAGAAAATTTGAGAGTAGGTGGCCCGTGGATTTAGTTATTTGAATCTTATWCTAAATTTTAATACAGGAATTAGGGAAATGAAATGAGGATGTGTGTGCTGATGTAACAAATGTGCAGCCAGATGCCAAGCTGTGCTTTGAGTGCTTAGAATGAGTTACGTGGTATGAGAACCATAAGTGATGGAAAGGAAGTAGGTACAGCTAGGAAGAGGAACTGAGCAGGGAGCAGCTGAATTAACTGCTTGCCTTCTGGCTGCTTATGGYTTGCACCAATAGAATATGTAGGCTGTTGTCCTTAGCTCAGCATTCGGAAGCTTTTGTTTGGATGTTTCCCAAAGCTTTTTCAAGCCTAATTTACACTAACATTTTATACTGGAATATTTACTTCATTAAGGTTACGTTTTTGTCAGCTATGTTTAGAATTAAGGGAGTTATGATGTGATACAGATGCTCAGAGCATTGCAGACAGTTCTCCCATAGAAAGAGGAATAACCAGTATCAAGATATGACTCTATTCTTCTAATCATAGAATCATAGAACATCTTGAGTTGGGAGGGTCCCATAAGAGTTATTGAGCCCAAATCTCCAGAGCATTTTAGTACTAAAATAACTGCAGCCCCACTAATGGGCTTTTGCTGCATTCACCACACAAGCAGAGTTTGGTACTTTTATGAACCAGATACCCAGTTTCCCACATGGAGGAATAGTGGTGTGATGTTCTGTGACTGAAAAACTTTCACCTCAGTCTTGTGACTTTCTTACAAGAGTATGGCAAACCTCAGTGCGTAGCTCCTATTGCCTTGTGGCCGCAGCTGTTTCATCACAGCGCTCTCCGCAGCTTGGCCCTTTGACTCTCACATTCCTCTGCTGTGCRTGGACAGCTGAAATCAGTCAACCACTCTGAACTTTTTAAGAGCAGTTAGCACATACATCATTTTAACATTCCCTGCTAAGAACCTTGACTCTCTTGTGGCCACAGCCTTTTGTATTCCTGGTCTGCAAATACATCAGTGCATATGTTTACTAATTAGATGTCAGTACAGAAAATATACAAATGTTAATATTCATGGAAGACAGRGACACATTCAGACATACTTCCATAAATGCTGCTATAAGTAATAGATTTATTCAGGGTGTTCCCTCCATGGCTGTGGAAATAAAAGCCAACTACTGACATATAAAGAAGTATATCTGCTGATGAAGTTATCTGTGCCAAGAATGCGAACACTTCTTTTTTAAATAATTTCTAAAAGGAGTATTCTTTCAGAAAAAAAAATCAAAACCACAAACATTACAGTTTCCAGCTTGCATAAATTGCAACTAGATATGCACTGACTGCTAAAAATGTGCTTAAATCTGTTTATAACCCTTCAAATAGCTCTCACTAATTTACATGGTGAAGCAGGCCCTTACATTTGACTGTCTGAGCTCCCTCTGGTGGGTAATGGGRCATTATTATTGCAAAGCARAGATACMTAAGATAACGTATAATTAYATTTGTCCAAGTGGAGCTTTATTTRTTTGTTCATAGCAAATAATTCTTTATATAACTATATAAAGATCAGTGTACGAATTCATCACTATCTGTTCACATCTGAAACCACCCAAAGAGAGATAACCAATATTTTTAAAATACTAGAGATACTTCAACAAAGATGTAGTTTTCCACAACACATAACATTGAACAGCACTTAATACAAGCATCTGACTTAAATGAGTTCTGGCATCC